TGTCTGTCTCTCTATTCCTGCCTCACTCTGTCCCTGCCTCACTCTCTGTACCTGTCTCACTCTCTGTACCTGTCTGTCTCTCTGTACCATCTGTCTCTCTGTACCATCTGTCTCTCTGTACCATCTGTCTCTCTGTACCATCTGTCTCTCTGTTCCTGCCTCACTCTCTGTACCTGTCTGTCTCTCTGTACTGTCTGTCTCTCTGTTCCTGCCTCACTCTCTGTACCTGTCTCACTCTCTGTACCTGTCTGTCTCTCTGTACCTGTCTGTCAGGTGCCCTGCAGTAGAGCTGATGTGTTTGCGAGTCGTCAGCTGTCCGTGGTAGAAAAGAGGAAGTTGATGCGTTTCCTTACTTTCTGTGTTGAGGAGACTGAGGAGCAGCAAGGTGAGACACCTCACCTGTCTGTCTGCTGATGTCATGATGACATTCGTAGCATCAGAGCATCATGGGTAAGATCCTGTCTTCCTTCAAGCTTACAGCGGTCGGCCATATTTGGAGTTCTTGCGTGACCAGCAGCTTGGAGACAACCTGCAACACTTCCTTGTCCACTCTATTGCAATGGTGACAGAGGACACACCCACAGAGGCAGGGCTTGCTTCCACACGTCACTTCTTGCGCTGCCTGGGTCGCTACGGCAACACGCCTTTCCTGTTTCCTGTATATGGCCTTGGAGAGATACCACAGTGTTTCTGTAGGTAAGAACTGTCTGTCCGACCCCGTCTGTCTGTCTTTATGTCTCTCTCTCTACCTACCTACCTGTCTGTCCGTCAGTGTCTCTGTGTCTCCTTCCCTCTCTCTCTGTCGTCTGTAACGCACGTAGCGATGGATCAGTTGTCATGATGATGCTGCTGCCTCATTAGAGAGGAAAATGAATATCAATGAGGAGCCTGTTGCCCGAGACTCAGTTGGTTTATATAAACAACGATTCTTAGCAGAATGTGTTGGTGCACACACGTCAACACACGTGATGCAAAGCGTGTGCAGACCTTTTTTAGAATAGTTTTTGTAAAATCTAAGAACCAAACTTCTCTATCTGTAGAAGTGAGGACACTTAGTAACACACTGAGCCACAGCTGACTGTGATTGGTCGAGACACGAGCCAAGGTACGCAGCTGATTAAACTTGGGATTGTTTTCCTTCGTGCTGATTGGATGGTGGTTGTCTCTCTGCTGTGTTTCAGGATGTGTGCTGTGTTTGGAGGAATCTACTGTCTGAGACACTCTGTGCAATGTGTGATCGTCGACAAGGAAACCAACAGGTACCAGAGCTACGTTATATACAGTCAGTGATCGTCTTTATATACAGTCACTGATCATCTTTATATACAGTCACTGATCGTCTTTATATACAGTCAGTGATCATCTTTA